GAGAGGAGGAGGAGGAGAAGGAGGTGGTGGTGGTTCTGACACTGAGCAGTTCTGAGCTTCACTCCATTATGACCTCGGGGTTCTCGACGCTGGCGGGAGGAGTTCTTGCGGCATACATCTCCATCGGGATCTCATCGGTTCATCTCATCAGTGCAAGCGTGATGAGGTGTGGAGAGGGAGAAAGAAGAGAGGAGGAGGGAGAGGAGGAGGTGAAGGAGGAGGAGGAGGAAGAGGAGGAGGAGGTGAAGGAGAAGGAGGAGATGAAGGAGGAGGAGGAGGAGGCGGAGGAGGAGGGAGAGGAGGAGGCGGAGGAGGGAAGGCAGGCAGGATGAGGGGAGGTAGGAAGGGGACGGGGAAAGGGAATCAATATGGATTATCGAGTAGTTGACGACTCGGTGTAGGGGGGCAGGACGGGGAGGGAAACAAGAGGAGGAAGGAGAAGTGAAACTTGATGGTGTTAATCATGTCAATTGTAATGGTGCTGATCATATCAATTGTAATAGTGTTGATCATCGTAACTCTAATAGTGTTATTCATATCAACTGTAATGTGTTGATCATCTTAACTCTAATAGTGTTATTCATATCAACTGTAATGTATTGATCATCATAACTCTAATAGTGTTATTCATATCAACTGTAATGTGTTGATCATCGTAACTCTAATAGTGTTATTCATATCAACTCTAATGGGGCTGCTGTTTTAGTGCTCCTGCAGCATTGGCTTTCTCCAAGATCGCGTATCCATCGGATGTCAATGAAGAGAAGACTGCAGTAGAAGAAGGTTCTGACGCACTTGAAACGTCTGCTGGATAGTTGTGATGTTTGCAAACAGTCGAAGATGCGTTGGGGAAGACAAGTGACAGCGACCTTGAAGGGATTGGAAAGGACAACGGGAGAAGTTTAGAGGAGAAAGATGTTGAGATTGGAGCAAACACCATAGAGGAGGATGAAGAGCCTTTCATGAGATCGAGCGAAGAGGAGAAATGTCAACCGCAGGAACAAGACAACCTGCTGTCTGCAGCAGCGACGGGGGTCATGAGGGGAGTGCACGTTGCTGCTGTTGTGGGGTGAGAGAAATGTTTTCTTCCTCTTGCTCAACATGTCAGGCTTCAGATGCTTCTGACTTGTTCAAATTCCTTCATCTAGTCTGTGTTTTCTATGATTGTCCTGCTCCCGCTCCCGCTCCTCCTCCTCCTCCTCCTCCTCCTCCTCCTCACATTCTCCTCCTCTCGTCCTCTCCTTTTCTCCCTTTCTCCTCTTCGCTTGCTTTATCTTCTTCTTCTCTCTTCTCACGATGATCTACAGCGGAATGCTGATCGCGTTTCTGGGGCTCGAAGCGGCGATGGACTCGTTCATCTCGTGGTGCAATTTGACAGCCGTCCATGTGCGAACAAGAACTGAAAGATGAACAACAGGTGGTTCAGTCTGATTGGAATTGAGAACGTCGATCTGAAAAAGGTTCTACACTTATCTGATATTCCATGGTTTCATCATGTTCTAAGCACCACCAAAATCCTCATCCTCCTCCTCCTCCTCCTCCTCATCATCATCATCATCATCATCATTGACTTCTCTCAGCTCTTCGGCATTCTCTTCTGGCTGCCGTCTTGGCTCATCGGCATCCCCGCGAGGTTGTTTGACAAGTTTGACAAGTTTGCACCTTCTTGACGTCAGAGTACAGAGATTGTCAACAGG